AGTTAGCATTCGAAAACAAGCAACTCCAACAGATCAACGCAAAGAATTGGGAATTTTATTCATTTTGTTAATCAGGATGTTCCACCTCTTACCCACAGCTGCATCACTGTATAACGGCATTCTATTATTCTTAATTTTATTGTTTACAATCCTTTTATGTTACGAAAAGCCAGAGAAGAATCAGTCCGAGTCATTTGAGAACCAACTTTAGCAAGTCTATCAGCCTGCTCATTACCAAAAATGCCACAATGGCTCAGAATCCATTGGAGAGCGATGTTTTCTCTAGAATACCTAAGTTTAAACAGCCTTGCTCTATAAGTATGGATATGTGCATCTTCATTGGAGAATCAATGAGAAACACAATATTGGGATCAGGACTCCCTTTCAATTTATCAATTGCACATGATATTGCAGCTATCTCTCCATCAAAATTGTCACAGTATTTCTCAACATGATAGCTAATAATTAAAGTACTTGAATAATGCTCCAGCACCGGCATTTTTTACAGTGCTGGTGCTTATTAAAACATGCAGTTCTGAGAATGCTGCAAATCATTATGAATTTTCCAGTTTGCTTTTTAATCTACTTTTATCTTTTTAATAGGTATTATTCAAAGACAAAAATAAATGTTAAACATATGAAAACAAGTCAATATAAAAATCTTGCTCACTTAAAATATCTAGATACAATGCAGATGATGGATTAATTAAGTAAACAAAATTTCTTTCAAATTTAATCAGTTACTGTTTCTGAAATATGTATTTCTTAAATATAATATAAAATTAAAAATTAGACTTTTCCAAATTAAAATATTACACTAAAACTAATCATAACTTTTTAAATTTCACTAAAAATAAAATAGAATGAAACAAATTTTAAGTTAACCCTTTGTGACGCACTATACTTTAAAGTCGGAATTTCAACAAAAAAAAGTTATACACAGTCTATTTAGGCTTAAAGCAGTATACATGCAAAGTTTTGTAAAAATTGCACTTACCGTCTTAATTTTGTGTTGTTCCATGAGGTGGAACACTGCACCGTTAGAGCTCTAAAAAGTGGGACTAAGCGAGCATTTCAGTGAAGCATGAAAATGAGTAGAAGCATTTGTATAGTAATGAAAAACAATGTATTATGGCTGTATACATGGTTTTCTGGATATACACAATATTCTTGAATATATATGGATAAATGAGGTAAATATATGTATATACACAAGTCGTATATAAAATCCAAGTATAAAAAATATTTAAAAATTTTTCAATTTCTTAGCTTTGTGAAATTGTTCAAAGCATGTCACACCTTTTTGATAGAAGCACAAACCAACTTTGCAGGTTTTGCACACAAAACTTGTCTTGTGATGATTCGCACTACTCACAAAAATTTCAAGATGCCCATATTAGGACTTTCATAGCACAAACCACACCTCACCCCTCAATACTGCTTTGTTTGAATTTATCCCCCCCCCAAAAAAAAAACAATGGAAACAGAAAACATATACAACAGATATTTTGTCCTAAGAATGGATGTTCTGATGCATAATTGCATGAGATAGCTAAAGGCGCAGTGTTCCCACAGATGGAAAACCTTGTTTTATTCGATGATTGCATGCTTTTTGTATGAACAATTTAAAAAAATTTAGAACAAATAATATAGAGTACAGCCATTCAAATTATACAGAATTTTTTTTTTCAAACAAATTTTTTTGTATCACAAAAAATAGAGAATGTTAGTTGAAAATAAGTGGAATTTAACACATCGTAGGTAAAAACCCTGGGTCTCCTTGTGATATGCTGCCATCTACCATTTAAAAAGTTCAAAGTTTATTATAAAGGCATTTTTATCCATTTACGGTTGAATTTAACAGTTCAGAAGCGATTCAAGTTGGGTAGAACACTGAGTAGCAAAGGGGTTAAAGGGACCTAAAGCAGGGCAAAATGGAACACTATTCAGATTTGGCATTGCTATCACATTCAATCTTGTTTGTCATTGTCAAACATTATTAATATTTAAATTTACATATAACTCCAAAATTTAATAAAAGAATTTTCATTTTTTGGAAATATGCCTTAAAAACATTTACTTTAAGAAGGTAAAATTTTATAGGTTATAAATCAAATTTATAAAAAATATTAAAATAAAAAAATAAATCAATAAAAGTGTTTGCGTTTCATTCCAATAAACTTAAATTTAGAATTATGAAGTAAGAAATCAAAGAAGTTTAACATGTTTGCTTTTAATATGTAAAAGGGTGAGAGATCCTTGGACCCATCTCCAGAGATGAGCTCCATCAAGATTGGGATGGAACTTTACAATTAGTGTGATTGTAATATTGTCTGTGGCATGACATGTAATATGTGTTTCAGCATCCTACCCATGTCTTCCTATCCTGTCTCGAAATTGGAAGAAATTTCACTAAGTCTTACTGAATTAGTTGAAATTACTACTTATTAGTTACTACTGATGCATACAGACAGCATGCTAAATAATATTAAGTATTCTAAGTCAGAGGATACTACTATATATAGATATATGTAATTATAAAATTTATCATTACCCTTTTAATGGTGACTTTTTTATGCAGACTGGTGTGAATAGGAAATTCATTTTCTATAACTTGACATTTCATATCTTGAAATTTCTATATTCAAGTTAATATTTCAACTTGCTATGATATATTTTAAAACAGGGTGCAATATAAAGTCCTACATAACAGTCTTGGTAATATCTTGTTTCTTTCCACAATCACTGTTACCATTGTCAAAATCATGCACTTTCGGTTCACATAAAAATTTAAGAATGTAAACTACATAAAATACAATTTGAAAGCTCAATAATACGAGGGCTATCCAGAAAGTAGATTACGTTTTGGAATAAAAAAATAAACAAAGTATAGGAAACAAATTCTTATATACAGAGAAGCCCATCAAACTACTGTTTACATAGTCACCATACAATTAAGGCATTATGTGCGATGTCGAGCTGGAAATCTTCGGCGAAAAATTCGGCCGCTGGCCTTCAACACTTCGTTACCCTTCTTGCGCTGTGCGTCGTCAGCAAACGCATGATTGCAATTAGTTTACAGTCACATGTTTCACCATGTTTCGTACAGTACGATGCGATCGAGTAAAGAGTCACCATCCTTAGGTAAGCGTCCAAAAATTCAACGCTGGCGCCATTCGCTGATTTTTGGGTCCTATGTCAGATTGGGAATCATCTGCACAAACTTGTGGAACCAAGCTTTCGGATGATTTCGTGCAAAAACTTCGCAAATGTGGAAAATAAAGAAAGTTCCGTTATTGTGAAATTCGATTTCCGACTTTAGCATCGACTTTTTCGGAAGTTAGGCGGTCACTCTGGGTCTCCCACTTCGATTTCGTCGGAACATGGTCGCCATTGAAATTTAGACCCAATGACGCACTCCACCTTCAGTGATATGTTTCCCATACACTTCGAAGATGCAGATAGATTCATCGGTTTACAGTTTTTGCAGTCAGAAACCTATACTGAGCGCACCTCGCAGCTCGCGGGATTTTTCAATTAACGCAGACTTTTCAAACCGTCACAGTATTGAACGGAGCATAGCACGAACCTCATAGCACGGATAGATGCAGACTGAGCTGCGCAACGCTCTGACCCCAAGATGGCCGCGCTAGCCCCGCCCCTAGCGGACACAGACGGAAACGTAATCTACTTACTGGATGCCCCTCGTAATAAGGTAATAAAAGTATAATAAATTTTTTCAAAAGTTAACCAAGCAAAATTTTCATGAACTGTAAAACCCAAACGAAATGAGAGTTTCACAATGAATCAAAACACAAAAAGAAGGAAAAAAAAAAACAGAAAGTTTGTTCTATTGATCAGAAATGCCATATATGAATCAAAAAGTAAACTAGAAATAAATTATATGCGATACTCAGAAATGAGAGCTTTGAAAATATGATGCTTGCATGGGCTAATGACGCTATGAACAAAAAGCATTATCTGTAATGAGGTACGAAAAAAATTGCTGGATGGTTGATAGAATTCCATGCTTTTATCAATGAAATACATCCCTTTAAGTTTTAAATTATTTTTGCCCAGATGATATAGAAAATAAATAAAGAGCAGTAAAAAGGGGATTGAGAAAAAATTTTAAAATAATAGCAGTGACATTTTATGCCTAAAATTCTGTTTGTAAAAAATAAATCAGTTAGAATCTAAGGTTTTAATATTTTTATTATCGTAGCAATATTTTACACAACTACTACATTAACAATACACATTCTACACATAGTTTTTATAACCTACAGCCAATTTTAACAACAAAAATTTTTTATATTAATAGACAATGCAAATTTTGCTTGCTGCAACTATATTTTGGGATTTTTTTAATTATTATTCAGGAAGACATGTTATTTAAAAACTATTTAGAGTAACTGCAAGCAGATAACACCAAACATGAAAAATCATTTTATTCACATTTTTGTAACAAGTGCTTTAAATCTGAACTTTTTATATATAATACCTTTATATCATAAAAGAATAATACAATTATGTCTTTCTTGAACAGAATAATTATTTTTTCAGTTTATAATAAGAAACAAAAATACTAAAAAGAATTCTTGAAAGCCAAATTACATAACTTTATAGCTCAGCAGTTATCAACATCAATGACTGACTGAGCATAAAGGACAGCTTCAAGAAATAAAAAAGAAGAAAAAAAATGTAATCTTTGATTTATAAAGTACATTTGCCTTCATTAGAGGGTACATAATTTAGAGAAAACTTTTGCATACATAAAAGATTATTATTACGAAAAAGACATGTCACAAAACTAAAACCGCAGTTATTTTACATATACATAATTATAAGTTGGTAGATTTAAAATTAAGATAATGCATAAAGCAAATGCAAAGAATCAAAATGTATTCAATGTCAAAATATTTGCAATTATTTAAGATTTTTAAAAAAATTAAAGCTCGCTGTCAGATCTTGCAACAGGAAAAACTGACTATAAATAATTTGAAGAGATTTTCAGTTTTTACCCGTAGAACCAAAACCACCTTCACCTCTTTCTGTATCTTCAAGTTTCTGAAATACATAAAAAAGACTGGATTTTAATCATTAATACTTATGCAGACATTGAAAAATAATTATGTTGTCAAATCCTCTGAACGAAAGTTTCAGAACAGCGGTAAATTTAAAATAAAATACCTGATGGAAAATTAGTTTTATTCCGGCTTATGCAAATTGACGCTATTATCAATTATTATTATATGAATATTTTAAATCTTAAAAGCAAGATTTATAAATTTTCAAAGATTCATTTAAAACAAAGTTTGTTTTTACAAAATTGTTACAAAATGTTTTTATATTAAACTTAATCTTTTTTTTTTCCTCTGAAATTAATGAAGATTTCATTTATAGTTTTAAACGAAGAAAAAATTGCATATTCCATGTTTTATTAACATTAACACACTTGGCCACAATATGATGTGTTTCAAATAAATGGATATGTTTCAAATAAAAGTGTTTCAAAGGATGGACGTGTCTCAAATAAAGTGTTACACACATTATCAAGTAAGCACAGCTTATTTAGGATGTTCAGGTTGCGACAAATTTATACACAGTGCTGCAGCGGTGCAATTATCGCTATCGTGGCCAAGTGACGAACATGGAGCGCACGCCAGGCTCCCACGACAGGACATCTTGAAATGGCCGAAACGCTGGCACTGGAAGCATCACATAGGGTTTGGTATATAATAAGGTCTTACGGGGCAATTAAGATATCTAGCCTTGATATTCTTGGGCAGATCAGACAACTGCAAAAAGGACAACTGCTCACACCTCAGATAAAGTGAAGAGTCAATATACAGGCTCTGGGCAGGAGATGTCCTGAAAGATCCAGAACAAATCCGCAGACCTTGATGCTGAACAGGATTTAGTTTTAACAATACTGATGACTGATCGAATCTGTAAACAAATGAGCCATAGTCCAGTCTAGAGCAGACAAGCACTCAGTAAATGTGAAGTATAGAGCAATGCATTTTTAAACAATTTTTTCTCAGGTTTAAGACATGAAAAAGAAAAGTCAATTTTAGGTCGGACATCGGCACTGGGATTTGTTTGATTGAAGCTGTGTGCTTTGAACTAGTTTTCTGGCTTCAGCATATGAGATGCTCCTAGTGACTTTTGCTGTCTGTACTTCCTTTTCTGTTTTCCATTTTTGGACATGAACGGGAAAATGCTGGATGGTTGACCTTGCAATTTATACACAGTGCTGCAGCGGTGCAATTATCACTATCGTGGCCAAGTGACGAACATGGAGCGCACGTCAGGCTCCCACGACAGGACATCTTGGAATGGCCGAAACGCTGGCACTGGAAGCATTGCATAGGGTTTGGAATATAAGGTCTTACGGGGCAATTAAGATATCTAGCCTTGATATTCTTGGGCAGATCTGGCAACTTGAAGGTCAGGATGGCATGTTTCATGTCAGTCAACTGACCTTCCTTAAGCATCTTGATCCGCTTTGCAGCACAGCTAACTCGCACCTTTCGGTCAGCTAACTCGGAAACGAATTCTTCTTCAGGAACAGACAGAAAGTCGACTTCTGAGATTACACTATGACTATAAGTCAGTGTCTTATGCGCTATTACAGTGACATTTGCTTTTCCAAGTTTGGATATTTGAAGTAAGGAAGCAGACTGGGTGGCCGAAATTGTATCAAAAAGCAAGTCTCCAAAGCGGAGACGCTTTTATTGTATAATTTAATATTTGACCATATGTGAATTATGCCAGACAGGTATATTTAATTAAGCTACTTATGATGAGTTCTAGTGTATGACAGACAGGTATATTTAATTAAGCTATTTATGATGAAATCTAGTGTAAGCCAGACAGGTATGTAATTGAGTTTACATGTGCTATTTTCATATGTGTGCCAGATCTTACAGTTTGAAGTCACGTGAATTCTAGTTATACCTAGTTACTTCTACAATCAGTGGTGCCTCATCAAGATTGTAACATTGTGAACTGTACTGTGTCATTTTTCTTCTTTGGCCGGAGGGAATGTGAAGGCAAGCCTCCACATGAGATGCTAACTGCAACCGGCACTGATCACGAGGCGAGTTTGAAGGACGAAACCGGTTTCTCGCTCTCTTCTGCTGCTGGAGTTCGTCGAGGTAGGACGCCCTTTTGGGCTGTCCTGGCCGAGTCCTCACTTTCCGAGATTTCTTTTTCCCTGGCTGCGTGAGTTAGCCATTTTTCATCTTTGGAGTCCCATCGAATTAAATCCATATTAAAAGAACTTATTTGGTCAATTGCCTGTAAGGCAGCATTCCGAGATCCATCTTCTGATAATGTTTTGTGACGAAAAGACATTTTGCGCAAAATTTCATTGGACTTTTGTTCGTTCCAAGAAGTCACACAGCCACGTGCTAATTCTCGAGGTCTAAGATTCCGAACTGGTATTGCATTTGAATTAATGTCATCAAAAATGTAAATGATTTCAATGCAGGTAACTCTACTTAAATATGCTATTCATGTAAGGACAGTATTTTCGCGGATCAATTAGGATTTTTCTGGACTTCGTCTGTAACTCACGAGCAGCTTCATGTGCACCTTGTATTGGTTGTTTTATGTCTGGCAATGTGATATTTATATATATATATCTTTTACAGTCTGGCTAACTAATAAATTGTGAATTGTTTCAACGAGTCAATGTTGTCATTTTGGGGTAACTTAAATTTTATTTTTTATTTCCTAGTTCACACATTTTATCCTTAGTCCTTTCCAAGCATATTACAGGTTATTGCGGCACAATAGCAACAAACAAATATAACATTTATTAAACAAAAAAAAATATAACAATTACAAAACAAAGAGTCTGTCTGTGTGTGTGTGTGTGTGTCTTTCATTCGTACTGCGTGTAAGCTAATAGACCCACGGTTACGAAATTTGGTACATATGTGCATCTAGACAAGAGCCAGTGCACCTCGAAATGATTTTTTTCGAAATTCAAATTAGAATTTTTTTTATTTTATGTTTTGTGACAAAATCGTGTCAATTTGAGACATGAAGGGCTATTGGAAAGCAATATTTTACTCTATGCACTCCATTTTCATATCTCATGAAATGTAGGCACTTAGCTATTTTATGAACTTAAAATAAATTTCGTGTTTCAATAAATCGATTTTAAATACGAATTTATTTAACAAAGTAAGCTTAACACCTTTTCAATGGGATTTTTTTCTAAAAACGTTTATATTTTAAAATGTACAGTTTATTTTTCTTTGATTTTTGGACACTTTTAACTTTCATCCTTTGCGACTGCTTATACAAAAAGAATTTTGGAAAAAGGATAATATTTTGCATTTTTAAAAAAATTTTTAAATGAAGCTTCTGAGTACACATCTCACATCTTTACAAATGTGATTTTGGCAACAATTTTCCTTTCTTATTGTTGTTGATAGATTTTTGATGAAATCGCATCATTTTTAATAGTTTCATTCTTTTAGAAATATGGGTTTGGCAACAATTTTTCATCGTATTTCTTATGTCACTGTTTTTAAGAGATTGGCATATTTCATTGCCATTTTTTTATATATATAATACATTTTTATTGATGTTTTTTATAAAGTTGTTCTGCAGAGTAAAATTCTGCGCGGAATTTTTTGTTTTTTGAGTTTCTTTCATGTTATTTTTTGCTCATTTCACTGTTTTTAAGATATTGAAAAGTTTTGAATGGGTTTTTTTTTCTTTAACGGAAAGTTGGTCAATTTTTTTTTATTAGGATGATTAATATTTGTATTAAGGGATATAGCTTATTTCATTGTAATTTTTGGTGCTACTTTGGTAGATGGTTGCACGGATTTTGGCAATTTTTTTTTTGCCGAGTAATACGACTTATGGTAAACCCATTGCTGGATAAGTTATTTATGGTAACCAATACTTTGTTGCCATTTTATTTAAAAAATAATGTGTTTTATTATGCATAAATTCCGTGTTTTAAATATTATTTATGGCTTCTAAATATTAAAAATCAATTTAATTTTGCATTTTTATTTGAAATAAAATTTTGTTGTTTATAATAATTTATATAATTTTATGTTGTGGATGATGTAATCAATGATGTCACCTTACTTAAACATAATTTGTTTTGCTAATATCTATAAATTTAATCTAATGTTTTAAACATTATTTATGGCTATTAAATATTAAAATACAATTTAATTTTGCATTAATTCCTGAGATATTTATTGCCACATATGTTTTAATGTTAAATAATTAAATCCTATAAAACTTTTTTTTAAGTATTTAAGTAATATTTTAATTCTTTTAAACATTGGTATGATGTTTTTAATTCGATATTCAATTTAAGCAATATTTTAATCCAATTAAATGTTGGCGCAATGTTTTTATAGTGGTATTTTTATTCTATTATATGAAAGTAATAATTTAACCTTACTTTAGCATTTTATACTCTTAGTAAATGTATTTATTTACATTTGCCAGCCATCTTAAAAAACAACATTTTCAACAAAAAATTAATCCATTATTTTTAACGATATTTATTTTTTTAAAAGTTTCTAAGACTTTACTATATGCGTAAAATAACGTAAAAACAGCATTTTTCAAGATGGCTGATGACTATAAAAACCGCGCCAATGTAAATCGGCAAAAATCCGTGCAACCGTCTACAAAGTAGCACCTATTTTTTTTTCTCTTGAAAAAAAATATAAGATAAAATATCATTGATTATACTTTGCTTTTCAATTTTTTTTTTTTTTTTATGTTATTTATTGTTGCTTATTTCACTGTTTTTAAGATATTGAAAAGTTCTGAGTGATTTTTTTAGGAAACAAAGTTTTTAACCTACTTTATACCATCTGAGTTCTTAAGATTTTACAAAGGGAAGTTGGTTAATTTATTTATTAGGATAATTAATATTTGTATTAAGGAATATTGTTTATTTCATTGTAATTTTGTTATACGTAATAACTTTTTTTTATGAAGTTGTTCTGCAGAGTAAAATTCTATGCAGTTTTTTAATTTAACGTTTGGTGTTCCCTTCAGCCATTTTTCCATTACATTTAAAAGCCAGATGAAGGCTGGCAGCGAAGCTACTAGTATATAGATATATATCTACTCTGTTACCTGGCTCAGTAAGCTCATTTTTTTTTTACTTTCACATGTTGATAAATTGTGCATTTTTTACTTTAGATGCGATTTAATTATGCTCTTATGTTTCAGTTAAGGTTTTTATGCCTTTAATTAATCTGCATGCAATAGCTGTACAATCATTATCAATTTAAAAGTTTACATGGTGCCTAAAAAGGCTGCCATTTATATACATTTGAAACTCTTACTAAAATAGCGAAACACGCCAGTTAATGCACCAACATCAGCATCTTCTTGCTAAGTGGGACAAAAGAAAACTTTCAGTTTTTTGCACCCAAAAATCTGTCTTCCTGCTCATTGGCCATACTGCTTGTTTTTCCATAGAAACCCTAATTTTAATTGTAAAAATTGTTTTTTAATTGTATCTAGTGCTTTATGTTTTCCTGCATTTTACAATTTTTTATAAAACTATTTTGAGTTTTTATTTATTTTTCCTTGCCGCAAAGTGTGAGAACTGAATTAAATGAATGAGATACATATCTAATGAAATTTGAAGAAATAAGTTTAAATGAAATGCAGCAAAAAAAAAAAAAATGGGTATAATTTAATAGGCCTTAGAAGGAAATCATTGAGTGTTCACACCAGATATTTTACATCAGTAATCTAAATTTTATTGACATATTCACAAGCAAATTTATAAACAGCAAAAGATATTTAAAGCAGATAAAGAAGCAAGGAGGGTAAGCAGAAGTTACTATAATAATGCACTGGAATTGTGAGAAATTTGCATTTTTTCTCACACGCTAATTTGGTACTCTTCTGTTATCAGGACCAGATTCAGAAGTGTATGTATATATGCACATGTGTGTATGTGCAAATATGTGAGTAGACATACACATACACTGGGCAAAAAAGTGAGACAGTTCTACATCTCCTGTTCTATTGGGCCGACTGACAAAATTCAAATTCTATTTTTCTAGTCTTGAAAGCGCAACTTAGGATATAAATTAGATTTATATACAGCATTGTTTTAATATAGGTATTTTGACACAAAATCAAACCCTTTCTGAAATGACATGCCAATTTTTTTCCATACTTCAATTCTACGACTCAAATTATGACAAAATATTAAATTTTGTAATTTTTGGTGAGAAATTTCAGGAGAAAATTAAAAATTTATCTTTGCACATTTCAGTTTGTGCCAAGGCGAATTAATTCACTAGGCGAACTTAATTTATAGCAACCTATTTTCTGTTCCTTTTTTCATTGAACACAGTGGGAGGAAAGTCATTGTTCCTACTTTCAAACAATTTAAACAAAGTGCAAAACCCACATTGGCATTATTATCACTTATAACAAATATGGAAAATTTCAAAATAAGCCAATATGTAAATTCCATGTATATCTGAGGAAATTTTGAATAAAAACTCTCGTTTTTTGCCGATATGCTTAGAAATACATCTATTTTAAGATGATGGAAAAATTTTTTAGGTTATAAATCAAATTTTTTTTCAAAAATGTATAAAAATTATTTAAAAATATTAATTTTTAAAAATAAATCATAAAAAATGGGTGAATTTTACTTGGAATGAACCTAAATTCTGAATCAAATAAGGTTATTAAGAATCAAATAAGGTTAATAAAAAAGAGATATTAATAAATACATATCAAACTTAATTAAAATTCAGAAGCTAAAATTTTGAGAGCTAATTTTTTAAAAACTAATTGTGCAATTTTTACAAAACATGGCAGTTTGTCATAATTTGAGTCACAGAATTGAAATATGGAAAACAATTGGCATGTTATTTCTAGAAAAAGTCAGATTTTGTGTCAAAATACTTGTATCTGAACAATGCTGACATGAAAAACACAAATTAAATTTCATCAATCGGCCTAGTAGAACAGGAGATATAGAACTGTCTTTTTTTTGGGGGGGGGGGCACAGTGTACATACACATGAATATATGAAGACATATATCTATATATACATGCATACACTTTTGGTTTTGACTTTTACCCTTGCCTGCATGAATGATGAAACACGAATTGAATGATTGAAGAGTTAGGTTTGGAGGCAACTTCCCCTTGATAAGTCTGTCTCCTACCTGCTCAACAGTCATTCACTTATGCATTTTTTAAAAAAATTCTTAGATTAATTTTAATTTGCTAAATTGGTAAATTTATTTTCATGGTTTGGTTTTGCACTTGATTTACTTATGCTATCTGAATTTAAATGATATTGTAGATTAGTTCGTAAATTAAATCTTTTATATGTTTGCATAAATTTTTTTAATTATTTTAACTTTAAATTTCCTTTTTTACGTATATACATGTTTGTTAAAATTTATATATAGATATATATACACATGTGCACCCACTTATGGACCTGGCCCCGATAATATAATAGCACCCATAATTTTAATAGAGGTGAAAATAACTTATGAAATGTTAGAGGTAGAATTTTTTCTGGTACGTTTCCGTTTTGCCAGCGCAACCAATGAAGTCGCCAATAATGGTACAACTGATGCCAAATGGAATATCCTCAGTGGTAACCTTTTACGCCTCATTTTCAAAACAAGTTGCAGCCATTTTTTATCAGATTGATTGCTTCTTTCAATACTGACATACAATTATAGAATTTTTATCAGCTAGTACAATTTTATGCCCTAAGGCCATTCGCGGTAATTAAGTCAAATAGAATGCAATCACACTGCTCACCGAAGGCAAAAATATAGAAAAGGCAAAGTCAAGGGTTAATTTCATCAATTCTAATGAGAATACACTAGCGAAGTAAAGCACTGTGGTTTTAGATAATTTCTGAATAAGCTATTCGTATGAATTGAAATAATTCTTCCATTTAAACTTGTATTCCAAATTAAGATTTAACTTGAAATTAATGTAGATAATTACTGAGAGAATTAGATTTTTGTAGCGTAGTTTACGTGAGATGAAATCACTTGGGGTCACGTGATATGAACCGGAGAATCAGCTTGTTGAACCATGAAAGCATAATAAATTCTTAAATTAGTGTCTTTTTACAAACTTATTGTCTTTATTTATTGGCTTTTTAAAAAATTTTAAATGATATTAAAATGTTTATGCCTTCAAAATAAAAAATTCTTAGAACTAACATTTGTTAACATTTTTTATGTGTATACTGTGTGTTGTCGCCAATAAAGTCTGCTCAGCAAGATTTGCACCGGCAAAACAGAAAAGTACCTTTTTCTTTTTATTATGCAATTACAAATATTAAACAACCATCAACTGTTACATAACCAAATATTTGAAATGAAGCAGTTAATTAAGAAATAACTGCACAAAATGATAAAAACTAAAGAATTAAAAGGAAACTAGTGAAATTGGTACTATTGCATTATTCGCCCAACCATCCTGCCCAATCATTGATAACTACTTTTTTGCCAACCTAACGTCTTCAAAACAGCACCCATTTTAAAAATAGTGGCACAATGAAAATTGCACAACAAATTAACAAAATTAGACACGCAGGAACTATGTATGATGAAATAATTACATAAAGCAAACATCCATAATGAACACTCAAAATTTCATAAAACAATAACAAATTAACAAAATTAAAAATGCAACAAACACCCATAATAAAACACTTAACATTCTTTTTTTTTTTTTTTTTTTTTTTTTTTTTTTTTGATCTGTTGGTGTGCTAAGTGATCTGTTTCAACTTTAAATAAAAAATCAAGAAAATTGCAGAATTCCCTGCATTGTATAGATTTTCATGTACACTTTGACCTCTTAACTTAAAATTGTACTTATTCAAAGAAAACTATAATCACAACCAAGAGCAGTTTATAAAGTAATTGCAAGCTGCAAGATATAATGCATCATTGAAGATAAATAAAAGCTATGCATCATTTTATATGCATTTTATTACTTTAACAATAATAATGAAAATAATTTTTGACAATAATAATGAAAATCAATTAGGACAACATTTACATTTTTACAGCCAACGGACACTGTTCAGCTACTTGCTTTAAATTATTATCAAAACAGTCATCTAGATATTATCTCCAAACGAATTCCCTCAGAAATCTCGGACAATTTGATGCTTTACTGGATACAATTTCATGCACATTTCTACACTCTACTATTACTAAGCAAAATGCCATTTTTCTGATAAAATGCAATACTTTATTTTTTATTAGCAGGCAAACCACATTGATTATGATAGCATTATGATTCGTAACAAAGAAAAAAAAGCACACACACATGAAGCTACAAATATAACCCTCCAATGTAATTCCAAAATTTGTGCCCATTTAGTGGGTTTGCCAAATGAAATACATTTTTATAAAATTCGGGGTTTTCTACTTTAGTGACATAGCACTCTGTCTGGAGATTCTTGTCATAGTGGTCAAATAAAGTAATTACGCCATGAAATAAAGGATTTTTAAAACTGAAATTTTATGCTATGTAATGTATATAAATCCATTGTTTTCTCTTATTAGAGCAGCGGTGAATCTTAACACGAAATCTACTCAGGTTTATTTAGAAAGCAGTTTCAGTTTTTAAGAAACCCAAACCACTATTTATATTCAATTTAAAAGAAATAAAAATATTTCAATGCAATATATTCATAGGCAGGAGAAAAACAACCTTTCATAATACATAAATTTTCTTACCTCAACTTCTTCCAGTTCTGGATAGCATATTTTCTCACAGATTAACTGAGCTATGCGATCACCTTTCTTAACTGAAAATTGAAAAATATTTAGCAAGTAATAAACTCGGAGACAAATAATTGGAAAAAGCTGCTTTTTGTCAAACAAAATTAAATATAGATTTTATAAAACTATGTAAGTATAATACTTAAGATTTTATGAATGCAACTAAAAAAAAAAAAAAAAAAAAAAATAGAGTTTGTCCTCATTTTTGCAACTGGTATTTCTTAAAGCATTACATTATCTTTATTTTAATCTGTGAATTAAAAAATACATTAAGCATTCACATTTTATGATCACAGCATCAGTCTTTGATAAAGTAAACCAACATGGTTAATTGATTAAAGCAAACAAGAGCTGTCTGCCTTAGGAAGGATGGCATTGTGGAAAATATGCCTACAGAACTTTCAAACTTAAATCGATAAACAATATGAAGCATCAATCCCATCTAGCATATCAAAATCGGTTAAAACTGAGAGTTCTTATTTTAAATAGGAGGCACAAGTTAATAGCATGCATTTCATTCAGATAATGTGGAATGAAAATCTTACAAAAATTACAAATGGAAAGCAGTTCTAGTATCATTTCTTAGCCATGCTTTGAGAACATTTAGCCATTCCTACTTTTAACAGTAATAATTTTATTTTAGAAGTCATGTACTAAAATAAGTTTCTCAAACTTACTGAACAAAACAAAAAAAAAAAAAAAAAAAAAAAAAAATGCTCTAAACAATTTTTGATGTTGAAAATTACTACTACAAAATAGAACAACATTTAGAAAAGGATTTACAACCTTAGTTTTCTTTTAAACACTTCTTTTCACATATTAGGTCTACTGATAGAGCGTTAGAGAATTAATACACTTGGAACAAATATAAACAATTCACTAGTACCTTCCACTTCAATTTTAAATTATTAATAAATGTGTCTACCCTCTGTGAGGCACCCTGAACAGCATTCTCAGTGATGAGATGAATAAATAACTTCTAGGTCTAACCATTATTAATGAAACATTAAAAAGTGTTTGGCTGCTGGGAGAGGAGAGTTTAAATTATATCTTTTCTTAAATACTGTTTACATATGAATCAATTTATCCATATTACAATATCAGTGATTATAAGTAACAATTCCCCCTTCATTATACATAAACCCTCTGTAAAATTCTACATTTTAATTAATATTTGAAGAAAATAATGCAAAAAGCATAGCAAAATCACTAGCATTTGCTGCTCTCTAATCCTTTTAAGGTTTCGTATGAAAATTCTTTAGTAACAAAGCAAAAGTGAACTGTCAAATATAGAGAGGAATAAATAAAACTGAATACACAGATTTGGGAAACAAACACTAAAAGTTAACTTCAAACATTAAACTTACTTAAATGCCTAAAATTTTAAAATTTGCAGACACTGATAATTCAAAAACTAACTATATGAAAAATAGTTTAACACATATAAATTTCATTCTATAATAATATCCAAATCTATGGAGTAACTCAAATATAAATAACATTAATAAACATATTGTTGCATGCATACAAGTTTGCAATGGATTGAATGCACCAGGGATCGGTGATTGCTTGCTAAAATTTATTGTTCCGAAAGAAACACTTTACAGTTCTAGAATGTTCCACAAATGTATTCTTCTCAGTATGGCAGAGTATGATCAGTAGTTAGCACTTAAAATTACTAAGAACATTAAACACAATGCAATGCAAAGCACATCTAAAGAGAGAAGCTCTCAATATTCTGAAGCCAACTCTGAACTGATGCTCTCACCGGTCTCATATAATTTTCTCCTGGCCACTGAGAATCTCTGGTACCTTCCATTTCTTGAAATTACTGGAAGGCAGACACAATTAAAGTAACGTGCAAGAACTGGATACAGTTACATACATGGATCAATTAGTTATTCAATTACAGTTACGGAGGGACTGGACTGAAATGCCGCCAAGAATGACAATTTTTGATGCTTTCTTTGCAAATTAGGAGAAAAAATTAGTCGTCAAAACCATCACCAGCTTGGTGGTATCTCGCCAATTTAGCGAAATAGTTATTTACTGCAATGTAATCTTCTGCCAGCACAGCTTCACCTCTTCGGGTTTGGTTTGCTTTATTTAATTATGACAAAGCACACTAGGGCTATCTGCCTAAGGGAAGGGATGCCTTCGTGAAGGACTTTCTAAGGGGACTGGCTCGTATACACGTTACACATGGGGAAAACCACGAAAATGCCCATGCAGCCAGCCCGTTCGCGATATTCGAACCTCAGACCGAACTACCAGTGTTCAGCGACTTGACCGCTCGGCTGCTGGTGGGCCTCTTCATCTCTTCAGATTTTTTATGTTACATTATACAAAAGATACTACAATATCCTATATAATTTCACTAACATTACTTACATACAAAAAATGTGTAAAAATATGAAATAAATAATATGATGACCAAGTATTCTTATTGCATATGATGGGGAAAAATAATCAAAATTTATTGCTTTGAATGTAAAAACGTGAAAGCTGACACATTAAAACATATTTTACATCAAGTGTTATAAACTATTCAATGTGCTTATTAACTAATGTGCTTATTTAAACAATAAGCATTAATGCTAGATGTTAAAATGATATACAACGTTTCAATAATTCGAAACTGAGCAACTTCTTGAAAGCAGAAAATACTTTTTGTAATGGCAACTACCAGAAATAAAAGTATATAAAATATTTAATTAATTCAGAACACTTATTAAATTTTAATACATAAAAACAGTACATATATTAACTAATGTGCATTAGTAGCAAAAATAACTATTACTTTAAACAGCATATAATTCTAACAACACAGTAAATACAGTACTTCATGTATGTGTAATATAATATAGTATTCATGTAAATGTGTTTATAATAAACCTTTAACAAAATGAAAATAGATTACATCCTTCCCTTTATGTAGATAACCCTTATTATTAAAGCAATAATAAATAAATCTACAAAAAACAAAACTGAATTCTTATTAGTTCATCAGCATAGTAATTGGATAAGCTGTTACAGAAACCAGTGAAGGGCTGATTAATCAATCATGGCTTGTCTTGCATACTTTGGAATTAATTTCCTGTTTAATAACCAGTTGATTAAAAAAAGAAAGTTTGAATGTAATTTGCTGATATTTGCTAATTCTATAATGCCCATCTCTAGAAGTTAATACACTGAAATTGAGAATTTTATGTACAAAAAATGTTAATATGAATATTATAGTAGATATTCAGCAGCAAAAATGTTCTTGTTAAACCTATGGAGATGGTTTATTGCCATTAGACTCCATCAGAAGATCAGTAGAAAGGCACAAACTTCAGCTAGTAATTAAAACCAACTTTATTTAACATTTAAAACAGAGGTAAGCCCATCTTGCAGGATGTTAAACATTTAACATTAATACACACAATTTCACACCAGACATAGGCAACAAACAGGCAATAAAAGTGAGAGGTAAGTAATCAATAGTAAAGTCTTGACGAAAGTTCAAGTCCTTATACTCACATTATGGCGAGCACATTCGCATACTGCACAAGTTTGCAGAAGTTGGAAAGAAACAAGTAAAAGGTGAAAAACTCTTATAATATATAACAAGTAAAATTGAATAAATGAAAGAGTTCATGAAGAAAGTTGTATGTTTCAATATTCTGCTTAATTTATTATGAAGCTAATAGTATACATCAAATAATTATTACAGGTACTTAGAATACGACTCACACAATGTAAAGCAAACAAACTGAAGTACATGGTGAAATAATCTAACAGACTGCTAAGAACTATTCATTTATTAATATTTGAAAATAAATCAAAATGATAAATAAAATCATGATTATCAAAGAAATAAAACATTTCGGTTGATCTTTACAATACGGTAACTGGTAGTTTAGCGACATTTTGGAGGCGATAAAGGTTACTACCTGGGACTTTGGTAATAATGTGAGCAGTACTCAGTTCCGATTACGCATTATTTTGCGTGAGGGAAATGAGAGATCATGGGATATGTCATGTGATATTAATGGACGAATTACGGTTCTTTAATCGGAAAAGGGGGGAAATCGGGAAAAAATCTGGAAATTTTGTATTTAGCTTTATTCTGTGTTGTGTGAAACAGTGTTGTTTAATTTTTGGATCCCCTGGCTCTAACTAAAGTGAATTCGAAATGGGTATTTAGGCATTGTGATAAAGAGAAGTTTCCTTTTTATTTAGTGGAAGAAGTATGGAGGAAAAATTCGCAGAAAAAATCTTTCAATAATTTTATTGAATGAATTAGAAAAGTGTATCCGGCACGTAATCAAGATTCTGAAGAAGATTAGGTAAGTTAGTATTTTTAATTATTTGAGGATATTATTTTTATGCATTGTTCTAAATGTAAGGTGGAAAGGAATTTGGTATTATTGGGAAAATTGTTATTAGCAATGATTTAGTTTAAAAGTAATTAGGATTGTAAGGTAATTTTTATTAATTTAATGTATGTGCTCATTTATATTTTAAGTAGTGTTTTTGAATTTAATTATATTTTAATGAAATGATAGTTATTTTGTGAATTTTATGTTTGTAGGAATTTGGTATACGTTTTAGTTGAAGTAAATGTGCATGGAAATAATTTAAATATTTGACACTAAGTACTTGTAATGCTTGCGGTATGAATTCGTTGGTGACGTTTATAATATAATAGATAATTTAGAGGTAAAAGTTTTTGGATATTTTATTTATTTTATATGTGGAAATGTTCATATTTGGAAAGGGTATAAACTTTTTCGTGATCAGGTAATTTCATATATGTTCTTTTTACCGGGTTTAAAGATTGAGAAAATTGTCATGTATTTTCGTGAAATTCTTCTAATTTATGAGAAAAAAGCAGTGTACATGGATATAGTGAAGAGTGTGTGCAATGCCATTTTTGTGCAATTCTGGGATGTTTTTTTAAGTAAAAATAAGTCGACGTGTACATGGTTTAGTGATATTTTAATTAAATGATAGTTATTTTGTGAATTTTATGTTTGTAGGAATTTGGTATACGTTTTAGTTGAAGTAAATGTGCATGGAAATAATTTAAATATTTGACACTAAGTACTTGTAATGCTTGCGGTATGAATTCGTTGGTGACATATATAATGTAATAGATGATTTATAGGTAAATGTTTTTGGATATTTTATTTATTTTATATGTGGAAATGTTCATATTTGTAAAGTGTAAATACTTTTTCGCGATCAGGTAATTTCATATATGTTCTTTTTACCGGGTTTAAAGATTGAGAAAATTGTCATGTATTTTCGTGAAATTTTTCTAATTTATGAGAAAAAAGCAGTGTACGTGGATATAGTGAAGAGTGTGCGCAATGCCATTTTTGTGCAATTCTGGGATGTTTTTTTAAGTAAAAATAAGTCGGCGTGTACATGGTTTATGTGTATGTGTTATTTTGAAAAAGGCGTAAGGTGTATGGTATTGTGCACTTTTTCCCAATTTTGCAGTGAATATTTGTCATGATTAAGCAGTTTTGTTTGATAAAATTTCTAGCATAAGTGTAATTCGGCTACTAGATTGTTGGAAGAAGCGTTCAGTAGATAAAAAGAAAAGAAACATGTCTTTACTTCGTGAAGACAAAATGGCGGCGGGGGAAAAAAAATAGAGGGTTGCTGTAGGAGAGTTGGTTGCCAAATTTTCGCCAAAAAATTGCCAAGTTACCATAATGTAAAGATCAACCAACATTTCTTATTGTCAACACCTATTATTGTTACACTGAATCCATTCGATATTAAATAGATGTTGACACCTGTTACTGCTACATCGAATCCATTTGAAATCGAACTGTTCTATTACGTTACTACATTCTACTGCCGATTATTCTATTCTGTGATTACATTTACCAAAATTTGACCATTATTGTTAAATTAATATTAAATAATTATTTTAATATTATAAAAGACTATCTTGATAAAATATGCAGTTTTTCAAATGAAATATTTTTTATTAAATGTTTTCCATAAAATAAAATTTGACTGTCATTAATTTAAACAAATAATACAAGTAATTTTAAATTCATCTAAAGATTAATAAACATGGTAAATTGCTGGAAAAGGCAAAATGACAGGACATAAAACTGTACAATTATTCAGTTTTATTCAATAACCTTAAGTACATAATTATGCAGATACTCCATGCATTTGTTGCTGCTCTACAATTTTTAATATATACAAACATGTAATTTTTAATGTGCATAATTTAATAATTTAAATTTTATGCAAAACCTAAAGTGATAAATTTTCAGAATGTAACACATTACAATTCATAATATCAAATAATCTGCTTAGAAATAAAGTAATACAAAAATATACACAAAAATGTCTTACCTTCAAATACATCTGATCCAAAATTAAACAGAACAACACCAAGATTTCCACGATAGTCTTCATCAACAACACCAGCTTTAAAAATAAGAAATACATTAATTTAAAGATATATCAAATTCTTAAACCAAAATTTTATAAATAGAACCTACATAAATAAATCTAAATTGCACATTTCAAAGAAAGGCTTATAATTTATATGAATACACTACTTTTAACATAATAACATAACGAATAAGGTAACAGGTGATTTGGCAGTTTTGATGATGGTTTTTATAGCAATAAAATTTGCTAACTTGAAGTCTGAGGATTAGCAGTAACCTGAAAATTGTGGGGCGATGATTTATGTGGAAAAACTTACACTAAATAGGTTCCATGTTTTAAATAACTAAAGTATATATTTTCAACCACATTTTACAAATTTAATTATGTTCCCTAATTAAATTTTATTTATTTATACTGTAAATTTCATTTTCCTAATTTACAGAAATAGAATTTGTTAGTTTTTAATCCAATTTCTTTCTCAACTTAATTATATCTAGATGCATATTTCTTTCTTGAAAAGAGATCTATGCACAATAAATATATATATAGACAGATATAATTCATTTACTAATGGAGTATTGAGCATATCATCTCCTTTGAGAAAGGTAATAGAATTTTAGTTGAATGAAGTAACTTAAAAGAATTTAAAAATAAATCTTGAAAATTTAGAAAAAAAGTCCTTTTTTGAAAATGAAAAATCAAATATGAATCATGAAAAACAGAAAATGGAAACTTTTAAAAAACGAAGAATTAATCAACAAACCAAGTAATTATAGTCATTAATCGGAAATTGGTTGACTTTTCAAGGGGAACAATCCAAACCTCGATCAATTAACAATAATTAATAAATGCAAAGGTGTTTCGTCCTTTACTCAAGTAAGAATTACGATGTCAAACTGGTATTACGTGAGTTGAGTTAAGCCAAATAGGCAGGTTTTAAGTCAGATAAAAATGCACTATATAATTCATTATGAAAGTGGCAGTTCCATTAAGTTTAATTTTTTTTTAATATTGTAATATATTGTTAGAGTGAATAGTAGTAATATTTTCTTACTTACATCATGACACCCTCGCTTTTAATCATGTTAATTCAAAGTAATAAACAGAATGCAATTGTTGCAAAAAATTATTAAATATAAAAATTGAAAAAATATTTACAGAAGATAAGAAGGTACAGCCAAAAGTCATTAATTTAGACACCCATAATCCGGAATGATCTATAATTTGGACCTCAAAGCTAAAAACTTTCTGCGCATGCGTCACTTTGACGCATGCACACAAGACCTTTATGTTGGATAATATGACTTATTGTAACCCTTTTACTGCATCATCTCTCCTCCTTGAAATGTTTATTAGGTTTAGTTCTTATTTTAATGGGATATAGTAGTTACTTCTACTTCTTTTTTTTACTGCCACTGTATGTGTTGAGAACAGACTGTTTCAACCTAATTAAGATGCAAAAACGAAACGTGATGTTACGTCATCTGGAAAGCCAAATCGCGCCGATAGATCATTGGTTGCCGTGAGATGATGTCATGCCTATTTCTGGTATAAGTATCTCGTGTCGCTCTGGCTCAGCCCTTCTAGTTCCTGCTTTCCTGGCTCTTGGGTGTGCGGTTTCCAGCCCCTTTTGAAGGATGCGTGCAGTTCGGTGAATAAGCTCCTTGGTTCCTGTCCACAAGATGACTATTCCTGAATAAATTCCTTGGTTCCTGTCCACAAGATGACTATTCCTGAATAAGTTCCTTGGTTCCTGTCCACAAGATGACTATTCCTGAATAAGTTCCTTGGTTCCAGTATACAAGATGACCTTTCCAGAATAAGTTCCTTGGTTCCAGAGGTTACAATGTGAGTGACTGACGTGGGCGGCATCCATGTTCTTCGTGAAGGCGGCATTTAAATAAGTTAGCGGCGATTCCTCATATTCAACTACTGTAAGCACAGTTAGGCTGGATTTAAGTGCTTTCAAGGACTTAATTTAAATTTCAGGTGCTTTCTTGACCATTGATCATGGACTTATTGAATGTGTAGCCAATTTCATTTGAGACCGCATAATTTCTGTTTAGGACATTTTGTTTGTATTGAATGCCAGTATTTTTGGAGACCAGGTAAAATATTATTTGATGAATGAAAGCTTGAAAATGATGGTTATATTTCTTTTTTTTTTTTTTTTTTTTTTTTTTTTTTTTTTTTTTTTTTTTTTTTTTTTTTTTTTTTTTTTTTTTTTTTTTTTTTTCCCTAAGACTCTGATATTGTTTAAATTTATTCTTGTGTTTTATTTTTTATATATTGTTAATAAATTGGTTAAGTTTGAAACCTTTTATTGTCTTCAATGTCTGCACACACATAATCTCAGGGAGCTTTATTGCTACTAAATTTTAATAAACTTTAAACTTTGCTTTTCATCATTTGGTTATGCCACAGCCCCTGAGTTATTTTAGTGCAGACTTTTGAAGTTTAAAGTTAATTTAGGACTTAAGAGATTGGGGGTGGGGTTTTTGTTGAAATTCAAATATGGCTACTGTTAATGTTATGCATAATATTGCTAAACTTGAGGCATGTAATTAGTCTAAAGATATGAAGTTTGTTTTAAATGAGAAAAATGCATGGCTTTTTTTTGGTCAAAGGTATTGAAAAATGAAAAATGTCCTGATTTAAATGATGTTAAGGGTATTACAAAAGAAATTATTGCCGACTATCAAAATAGAAGTCGTTTGGCATTATCTTTAATTTATATGAATGAATAAGCCCTGAATATAGAAACTTGATAAGTGTGAAATTGATGACCCGGTAGTTGGCATGGAATACGCTTGCCAAATACTTTCCAGCCAGATTATCGATCTAGACATATGTCCTTGTTTTCAGAGTTCTTAAATTGTAAAATTAAGCCAAATGAAAGTATTAGTTTCTTTTCTTCTAGATTAAAACGGGTAACTGAACAATTAGCTGATATTAATCAGGCTGTAAGAGATGTATACATATTTTTTCAGTTTCTTAGGTTCCTTCCAGATAAATATGATCAAGTAGTTCAGAATGTTTTGAGGTGGCCAGATGAAAAGTTCATATTTAAAAATGTTGAACTTGAAATACTAGCAGAGGAAACGCGTCTTAATTTAAGAGAGATAGATAGGGAAAATTCCAATAAGACTATCAAAGTACTCACTGTTGAACCCAAATTTAAGCAGATTAAAGGGCTCAAGTGTTATAAATGTGGCCGTCCAGGTCATATTCAAAAATACTGTAGAATGAAAGGTAATTTTTCCAGATCACCCTCACCCTGCTTCTTCTGTTTCCTCAGCTGTATCTAGTAGTAATAAAACATCTCCTAAGTGTAAGAATAAACCCAAGTTGTGTAAAGGTAAAAATAATTCCCATGCTCAGTCCCATTTTATAGCTCAAGCTAATGTTGTTAACAACTTTGGAGGAAAATGATGATAGTTGGATTTTTGATACTGCTGCATCTCATCATTTTTGTAAAAATCGTGAATTGTACGATACTTTTTCTCCTGTGAAGAATGAGAATATGCTAGTAGCTATTGATGGGGTAACTTTTCCAATTCATGGGAAGGGTACTGTTAAAATGAAATTTGGGGATTATAGTTATTTTGCTTAAGGATGTTTTATACTCTCACCTGAACTGAGACGAAATTTAATATCTGGACCTAGGGTGGATATCAATGGAGCAAGATTTTATGGTAAAAATGGGCAAATTAAAGTTACTGATGATGAAAATGAAACTTTGTACAAAGCTAAGTTGATAGGAAGTAACTATCATGTATTCCCGAAAATAGTGAAAAAGGGGGGGGGCAAATCTGTAAAATTTGAGGCATCCACAGTTCAGCATAACAATAGTGAATTATGGCATGGTCGGTTTGGTCATATAAATTATGGTGCTATTGTCAGGACTAGTAAGAGACATTCAGTTTGAGGTCTTCCTGTGTTAAAGCACTCACCTAATTTGTTTTGTGAACATTGCCAAATCAATAAGCAAAGACGAATCTCCTATAGACCCTTAAGAGTTATTCAAGTAAAAGAGGCCACTTGAAAGGGTTTTTTCTGATGTATGGAGACCTATTAACATTACAGGTGGGAATAGTGAATGTTATTTCGTTTCCTTTATTGACGAATATTCTCGTTATGTAGTAGTGTACCCCATTGTAGAGAAAAGTCAGGTGTTTGAAGTATTTGAAAGGCATATAGCACGTGCATAAAGATCTTTGAACCTTAAGTTGAAATACTTTAGGACTGATAATGGACGAGAATATGATAATGAACAATTCAGGTCATATTGTAATAAAAATGGTGTAAAGCACGAATTTACAGATGTATATACTCCAGAACAGAATGGAGTTTGTGAGAGATTCAATCAGACAGCTCTCAACAATGTACGTGCAATCTTACATGATAGTGGAATGAGTCCTGAATTTTGGTCAGATGCAGTAATGTATTTTGCATATTCATTTAATAGAATTTGTCATAAGGGCCAAGATAGAACCCCATTCGAATTGAATTATACACTAAGCGGAAACCATCAGTACGTCACCTTAAGGCATTTGGAACGATTGCCTATGTGGGAATTCCAAAGGCTAAAAGAAATTCTAAGCTTGATCCAAAGGCAACGAAAGGGCCGATTGATTGGGTACAGTGTACGAACAAAAGGGTACAAGATTTGGTTGGAAAATGAGCAAAAGGTAGTAGAAACCCTAAATGCTACTTTTAAAGAGTCAATTGGAATGCAGAAAAGTGGCAGTGGAGCTGCACTGGGCACCCTTCCTGATTTGGAATCTGAAGAAAGGGTAGAGTTCCAATCTACTGATACTCCAGTTGGCTATTTTCCTGAAATAGAGGAAAGAACCGATTGATACCAATGTACCCTCTTCTATACCTAGGCACTGACACTCAATCTACATTGAGACAAGTAACTTGGCTTCGTAAACCTGTTCCAAGGCCAGACGGCACTCGTACGGATGTGTATTATTTTGAGAGGGGGTCTAATCAAAGACTACGATCACCAAATGATGTAGAAAGGTATTGC